ACACCAACGCACCACTTCCCCGAAGTTGAAAACGCCTTCCCCGGTGAGCGCGGCGAGGCTGATGTCCGTCGCCAGCGTGTAGCGCTCCGCCTGCGGGATACCCTCAAGAGGCGTGTAGGCCAGGAACATGAGCGCGCTGCGGTAGAAGGAGTCCGGCGGCCCCACCGTCTTGTAGTACTCCGAGGACAGGCGGTAGTACGCAGAATGGACTGCCGTCTCCGCCGACTGTAAAAAAAGGTATTTGGGGGGTACCGCAGAGTAGGGATGGGTTGGGGGCTCGCGACTAGTATTTGCTGGCCTTGACTCTTCCGGCCAAAGGCGGGGTCGTTCTGGGAGAAGGGGAGATATTTGCGAACACGGCATCCCGTGAGGGGCATATCGGTTGGTTGCTGGGGCAAGGGATTGTTCCTGATGTCGTTAGTTGTTGCAGAGATAGGCTGACGAGGCTAGTCCGAATGGTGGCAGCGACATCAATGATACACTGGACCATTGGGATAATCACGTTGGTATCCGAGTGGGCCCTATTTTTTCAAACGAGTGGTGTGTATTTTGCTGACATACGGAGAACTGACAGCGACTTCGTCTCACGCCCTTTCGAGAGTGGTGCACAGAAACGGGTGTTGATTGTTGCGAGGTCAACGACCCCCCAAAAACACACGAGCCGTTAGTTCTCCCCTGAGACGGGCACCTTGTCATCGACAGGCCGGGTCTAACGCGGTCCATGCCAACAAACAAAACCACGGAAGGCAGAAACAACAACATCAGAAAAAAACACGCCCGCAGCCACTCTTGCCGGGAGCGCACTTCTACTGATCTCGTCAAGGGTTTTCATGGGGAAGGCCAGGCTATTTCTCCGGAGCAATAGAAACGGTAGCAGGTGTTACATACACACCTCCAACTCTTCGACCGCAACCTTCCCTTTCTCCACCACCTCCTTCGCCTCCGCCACCTTCCCTGCCCGCAGCACCAGCAACCCCAGCTCGCTCTCCAAGAGCAGCGAAGCCTCGGGCCCAAGCCGTTCCCGCTTCTCTAGCGCCGTCTCGAACAGCTGCGTCGCCACCAAAGGGTCTGCTCACGATTTCCGGCAAGAATTATTTTTGTTTTTTGTTCGAGTTTCGCGAATTCCGTGTGCCGCACCGAGGGTCGCCGAGTGGTGTACCCGAAGAAAGTTCGCGTAAGGTGTTGTCGTCGTCGTTGTCGGTGCACGCACACACACGTGGATAAGTGGAGCGGCGGCGAGGAGGAGCTTGGTGAGCGGGTAGGGGGAGCGGGGGGATAGAGGGGAGGGTTCATTGCGGTCGAGATGTTTGACCGCAGATAGCCGAGAAAAAAAATTAACGAGGTTTTTGGTGGGAGCAGGAATTGCCCAACCTCGGCTAAGGGTGGAACCAGCCGGAGAGAAACCGTTCTTAGTACGCAACACCACACGCGAACACGCGCGTGTGTGTTGATTCGTTTGCGTGTCTCGCGTCGACGGCGCGCTTACGGGCAAGACCACTGAAAAAATACGTCGGTCAAAAACAGGGACGAACGAGAAGCGCAAGACCGATTTCTCAACAACCCTTATTAGTTCCACCGATACTGCTGCTGCAGCGTGAACCAGCTGCATACCCCACGAAAATACGCCAGGACAAGTGGGACAAGACTTCGAAAAAACGCTGTGGAGCTCGCAGAGTGTCCTCTGGCCGGGGGGAGGGCATGGATGATAGGCTGAGCGCAAGGGTCCCTCGTCCCAATTCAACGCGCGTGCAAGCCTGACTACGTTTTGCGAGGAGCAGGGCTACACCTCTCCCAAGGTGAAATATAAAACCCAATCGGGTATAACAGCAAGAATTTCTCGTACCCACCCTAAGACATACAGCGCGGCGACCGAACACACATGTCAACTCAGCAAAGGACCCACCCTCGCACGTTTATCTCCCCCCTTGGAATCCCCCACGCCCCCACTCGCCCAGAGCAACCAGTTCACAGCCGGGTTTCTCAACACCAAGGGCGGGGCGTCGCAAGCGTTACAACGAGCGTTTGAGAACGTGCTTCGTGGGATATGTATCTAGGAAGGTCGCTCTCTTCGTTCGTACTGCTGTCTGACTTGACTGTTGTTGCGACTTCAGCCAGATTTCAGGACCAACAGCGGGGCTGGGGTCCCAAGCCGAGGATTTCGTGACACTATAATACACACAACCAGACAAGGGCGAGGTTTTGTCCCACAAAATATACACGCCACCCTGCACCTGAGCAAGTCTTCCCCACGGCGCAGAGGATCTGCACGAATCGAAGCTGGTTCATCTTCGCCTCGAAGTTTGCCACGAACTCCGTGCACAGCCGCACCAGACCGCCCCCCGCCTCCGCGTTCGCCGGGTCCGAAACGAACTCTAGCAGGGCGACCGTCAGCTGATGCCATAGCCTTCGATTGCACGGAAACCCCCACACGGAAAGAGGGAGTGGCAGAAAGCAAAACCGCACGCGATGCATCACAAAAACGAAGGGACCAGTGTTACTCCACTCAGAGAGAGAGAGAGAGAGAGTGGCCCAAAGCAAACCGCACGTGATCCAACACAAAAGTACCAGTGTTACTCGAGCCGAAATCCCGGGAGAGAGAGTGGCCGAAAGCAAACCGCGCGAGATCCAACAAAGGTTACAATTACTACGCTCTAGTCGAGACTCCGCGTCTTGCGCCGCTTGAATCGGAGAAAGCGGCGTGGAAGAGGGTGTCTGATCTTTCAACCCCCAGGCAGCAGGTAAGTCCGAGTGCACCAACAAGCGACAACGATCGCCACAAACGGCTACCGAGTTTGAACGTTTCACGTCTTCGAGGACTTTCTGGAGGGTAAACTTTAGCTCTTGAATTTTTGAAAAAGTAGTACCCCTTTTTGAGGGTAGTTGGCTTGTGACCACGGAAGGCGTCCGCACTAGTTCGACCAGTGCGGACATTGTAAGGTACTGAGCGGAAACCGGAACGGTTTTTAATGTGGAGACAACAAGAACAACGTAAACGGATCCGTCCATGTGGATGGCATCTTCGGCGTGGTCTTCACGTCTTCACCATTGCTGCTGTAAGCGACCGGGGTTTCATGACAAGTGTCGCCTCTAAGCCCGGTGGCCAAGAAGGGAGCAGACGGCATGATCCCAGCTCAGCACGCCCAGCAAGCAGAAGGCCGCATATCTGCCGCCATCCAAAGCAGTTATCGGCCCCTACCCTATTTAAAGAGAACACTGCAACGACTCAGGGGGGCACGATCGGAATCTCGTGCCGCATGCTGATGCTGCGGCCGGAGGGCCATCGGCTAGCGCTGCTGTTAGATTTTGCGGAATATGGAGGGGGGGGGGGGGGGGCAGGGCTTGACAGCCATGCTGCTGCGCCTGTAGCACCCGACCCATGGCGGCCCTGTTTTACGGTTACCTTGGTCTTACGGGCCACGGCAAGGAGACAGAGGGTCTTGGCGGCGACATCCATCGCTGCCACGCCAGGAGAAACATGTCGCGCCCCCCTGTACTCTTGCCGACACCGCTGCCTACAACAGGCAGCGTCGTTGCTGCTTGGCGTGGCCTCGACTCTAGACTATGACGCGGACCGTTGCTTACCGACCGAGTACAGGAGTGCACCGTTCTGCCCTGCAAGGCATCCACGAATTACACTTTACGGCCAGCCCATCGCCCGGATGAAGCCTGTCAGCAACCTTTGTTCTTCGGTGCTGCTTCCCGCAGGCAGGGAGGGAGTGCTATCTACCGACACAGAGAGCTAGCAGCTCGTCTGAGAAGAAGACCAGATTTGAGAGAATTTTTTCGTCCGCCAACTCACTTCCTGCTGAACAGATCCCCGAGCTTGTTATACTTGTCGGCCATGTCCGGATATTGCAACGCTTGCTGCTCGATATAGTCCATGCTTTATGCTTTTCCTCGCGCGCGCAACCGTCCTCGTCCTCGCTGCAAAGGGAGACAGACCAAAATCCAATCCCTCGGTTATCTCTCTCAGGAAATACCGAGAGCGCCTGGTTGCAGATGCTTGTCCAACAGAGCCTCGATGAAAAACTCGTGCGCACTTTCTCTCGTCCTCCCAGCTGGTATTGCAAGTCACGATAGCAATCTCTGGGGTACAGTAGCTATACGCCCGAGCAAGGTGCAGGTGTTGCTGCACAGCTCGATCTCCAGAGAAGGGTGCGCCGCAGTATCAAACCGGTTTGTCCGCCCCCCTGTTTACAGCACTTGTATTTCTGACGAGCCTCCCTGTAGTTTGTTTCCTCCGCTCCGCACCCAAGGACCACCTTCCACGTGGCGAGTTCCACACAGACCTCGTAGGACACCAACAGGAGCATAGGCCTTTCATTCGGCGCTTCCAGTCTCTACCGTCACGATACGCCGTCCGTCATCGTGCTCGACGAACGCGAGTCCGGTTGACCTAGTAGACACGAGCGGACACTTCTTTTCAACACACGTTTCTGTCGGCAGCACAGCAGCGGAGCGAGGTTGTAGAAGATGCCGGTGAACATCAAGAACCCGGCCATTAAGCGTATACACGCCGACGTGCGGGAGCTTATGAAGGATCCTTCCGACCAGTACCACGCCGCGCCCCTCGAGTCCAACCTGTTCGAGTGGCACTTCACCATCAGGGGCCCGCCCGACACAGAGTTCGAGGGAGGGGTTTACCACGGCCGAATCATCCTTCCGCCGGAGTACCCCTTCCGGCCGCCGGACATCATGTTCAACACACCCAACGGGAGGTTCAGCACCGGCATGAAGATCTGCTTGACGATCTCGTCTTACCATCCCGAGCACTGGCAGGTCTGCGACAGCAGCAGTAATTTTGAGACGACTATGCAAGAGACAGACTTTTGGGATTGTATGCTGCTGAGTTCGTTGCCTTGTTACTGACCGATACTGCTGTAGCATCTACCTGCAGGCTCTATCTAGGTCTACAAGGTTACCTACTTTGACGATCTCGTCTTTACCATCCCGAGCACTGGCAGGTCTGCGACAGCGGCAGTGATTTTGAGACGACTTTGCAAGAGACAGACGTTTGGGATTGTATATTGCTGAGTTCGTTGCCTTGTTACTGACCGATACTGCTGTAGCATCTACCTGCAGGCTCTTAATCTAGGTCTACAAGGTTGCCTGCCCATGAGAATGAGGAGGCGTATGAGGAGGCGTAGATGCCAGGGATGTCTCATTCTTCCCTGGTACTGCACTGACCGAGGACGCACCCGTATGCAGGCGAGGAGTACGCCCTCCAATCTCGTGGTGCAGAGAAGTAACCATACATTGCGATTGTTCCAACAATGAAATATGGTGCGTATATACGAACGTACGGCGTTCGGTTGTTCCTCCGCGTTTTTTTTGGGCGTGTCGGGATCAACGACACCAAACACTTTCAGTACACCTCCAACATTCCATCTCGCAACAATTCTTAATCTTCTAGCGCATCCAATAGCAAGAGCAACTACGAAGAAGTACAGCTGCAGTCGTGTGCGCAACTTTCCCAACCCGGCAAAGGGTCGTGAAAATGGACGTCTCTCGTGCCGTTGTACATCCAAGACGATGACCGACCCTGCTCCGATTTCTCCCGTTACCGTTGAATGTTTTCGCCGCAGCCGGCATGGGGTATCCGCCTCATCTTGGAGGCGTTGATTAGTTTCTTCCCCTCGCCCTCGCACGGTGCTTTGGGGGGGTTGGACTGGTCCGCGGGGGAGCGCAAGTGAGTCTAGAAAGTATCCTGTCATACGACCGGCGTCTTGCATTGCGTTTGAGAGCGGATGAGAGGCTCTTGCGTGACATGATGCAAGAGTAGGGGCTCTTGCACGACATGATGCAAGAGTACATGAGACCTTGGCTGTTAAAAGGCATTGGACTCTCTCGAACCGGACTGCTGTCGGTTTCGCCTTGATTGTTTTGGGACATAAGAGATGTCACGGCCGAAAAATACCTCTTGACAACAAACAGGGTAGAATAAAGTCTGTCGCTCTCGGGCCCGTGGGAATGTACATAGTTGTAGGCTTCCTTCTTCTTTGATCGTCCAGGGCGTGCGCTGCTTGTACGTGGTGCTGCTCTTGGCCGCGTCGACGCACGCTATCCGCGTGCTGGCTTCCAAGTACCGGTGTGGTGTGCGATCACCGTCGTGCGTGATGTCGTCCCATGGGGGCCAGTCTAGCACCTTCCGCTAAGTCGTTTTATCACCCCAATGCATCGGCCCCCTCCGCCGCAACCCTCCGCTCCTTCGGCCGTGTTGAAGTGACATATACTGTATGGAATACACTATAAATCCGGTTTATGACGCGCTTTGCAACCGAAATGGCGGACGTTTTTCAGGCGATTAGCCGTGGAGTCGAGAAAGTGGAAGTGCTACAAGTGCGGGTTAGTCGCCGATCTCCTTCCGGAGCTCCGGCCCAAGGGCGAGAGCGGCGGCGCGAGCGGCCGCAGCAGCTACGCGGACCAGATCAAAGAGCTGCACAAGCTCAAGGCAAAGACTGCCGACGAGGTAGCCGCAGAGTCTCCTGTCGCTGCCGCTGCCGCTGCAGCGGCTAGTGATGACCGTGAACCTGGCACTACCGTCAGCGAGTCTCCCAGCGGAAAGATTGCTTCTACGAAAAAAGAGGCGGAGGTGATAGCGCAAGCCCCCGGCGAAAAACGCGGTGTAATTGGTGCCATTTCGGAGATGGCGGCGACGACGGCTCCATCAAGTCCTCGGCTTCGGAGCGGGGGCGGGGCGCCGGCGGAAGGAGGGGGCGATCCGACGCCGTCCCCTGCCAACGCCAGGGGTGCGAGCGAGGTAGAGGGGAACCAGGGGCAGCAGCAGCAGCAGCAGCAGGAGTCGAGGGAAGATGACCTTGGGCGGGAGGACGACGTGCTTTCGTTTGTCGCCGTTGCTATCGCGCTCGCGATTGTCGGGATTTTGGTCCGGAAGGCCCTACGCCTTGCTGAGGTGATCTGAACGCTCCGCTCGCGGAAAATGTGTTTTTTCCTTGCGGTGGCGGCGGTGGCGTGGAAGGGAGCGCTCAGAGACTGTTGTGTATACCGAGGCCTTCGTTTGATGTTGTTTGATGTTGTGGCACAACGAGCAGTACCATGGTAATGTGGTACCAAAATGCGTGTGCTTCCGTGGTGAACTGTTTTGTTTGTACAGAGAGTGCGGTGGTGATGTTTGTGTGAGTGGCAGAACGACAGCAACGGGAAAGCAGTTTGTGTTTGTTCCTACTTGGTACGTACGAATGACTGCTGTGAGACGTAGTCGCTAGGTTTTCCTGCAGCGGGGAGAGGGATAGCCCCGGTCAAACCTCCACCGCACAATGTAAAAGTAAAAAATACAAAAATTTAATCAGAAATTGAGGTTTCCAGCGCGATTTTCTTGATTTGTCGAAGCTGTGGCAGTTGCTTGGAAGGATCCGCACCCCGTACGTTATTGCGACTACCAAAGCCTTTCTGTGTTAGGACGATGACCGTCTTGTATACTTATCGCCGGAGATAAAGGTTTCTTGTCATTTTACCTGTAAGTGGCCAAAAGTTTGTTTGTCTGTTGGGTGGCGTTGTCTAATGAAGGTGCTTGCAGTGAGCTAGCTTTGTCCGAATGCCAGTGGACGGTGTGCGTGCGGCTTAAAACCACCGAATGCGTCTGCTCGTCTGGAGGTACAGGCTGATTTACAGCCGCTAGCTGTTGTTCGTCTCGGGGTCCACGTGCTTCTCCAAGTCTCCGTCGACATCCTGCTAGAAAGCAAAGCCGACGAATCAATGGCACGCTTCGGGTTTGTTCATGATAGCTGAGCCGTGCATTCGATTAAGAGAGAGAGCTGTCGCTTGGTTGTGCCGCATATTCGTGACGTTCGCGAAGCGTCACCCCGCCAACGCGCCGAACCGAAACACGCGCGAGAGCTATTCGTACCACTTTGTTCCGGTGAAACGAAGGCCACACTCGGATTGGCAGCAGATTTTGGTAGGGTGTGGCCGCAGAATCCCTTTCCCGCAGACAGTCAAGTCTCTTGCTCTGTACCACAGGGGGGGGGGGGGGGGGGGGGGGGACCCTTTTTTTTTTGATGCCTTAAGGGGTAAAACATTTACCCCCCCCCCCCCAAAAGAAGGGAAATTTTTCCCCCAG